TCCTCCACAATACAGAATGAAAATTGTCTCAAATGAAAACTAGCCACGGAAGCTACGATTCGTTCAAATGAGGTATGCAGCCACGCCCTCCTCATCGCTGGGATATGCACTGCACGTTTCGTTGAAGCCTGCTGATATGCTATTATCTCGAGATAATCATTTCCATTAACTGTTTTTCCAGTAGCACGTAAAGTCGACATTCCTATTATATTCTTTGGTGACGGCGCCCCCGGTAACGGCGCCGGCGGAGCGGATCCATGCGAGGTAAAAATAACAGCCTCATCTGGAATTACCCTCAATAAATGCCTTGAACTTGAATTCTTAGGTGTACTGCACCGTGCCTGGCAGGACGAGCTTACTGAGTAGTACAACGAAGTACCGAGTAACGGTGGGCGAGATTCAACGAAGAATTAGTCCTCCTGAATGCCTCAATGCGTCACTACTTGGTGGTATACTTCGCCGGTACGTTCCTTCCAGTAGTTTTAAACCGCCGCTCAAAATTTCGTCTTTGAAGGGCTAAATCTAAAGACGGTGGGAAAACGTTGCGCGACTCGTTGAGGAAAATCGGACTAGCTCTTCCTGCTGGACGACGTAAGCAAGCGAATGTCACCGCGTGGACAGCCCTTGTTGAAGGTGAGCGCTCTTTTGCTTGTTTCAGTTAAACGCAGCGGGCACCACGGCTGGGAGCGGGCGGTTACTGCTTACCTTGTCAAATAGTAAGCAGTTTACTAAATTTTATACTAAGCTATGCCAAAATCGTCCCATTACAACGATCCCGCTAGTCGACTGAGAGAAGGGGGAGGGGCTATCTTTTCCCCGTCAATGTGCCGAGCTTTTTTCTTGGAGACCAGAAAACGTTGAATAACGTAACGTAAAACAGAATCTGAAAATGAGCAAGGTGGGCTAGGAAGGGGGGGGGGACTGTGCCAGGACACGTTTACGATTCTTAAATAGGTGGATCTCTCCGCATGAAATGCCCGAGAAACAACTTCTTTCCATGACGGAATCGGCTCACTCCTTCCCCCTAGGCTCAGGAGAAAATTCTGAACCTGGTGGCTCAGAATCGTTTCGTCGTACACTCCATATCCCGAAGATGGCTAGGGCGTGGCTGCACTTCATTTGAACATGACGTTGAATGAGTTTTTCGTGGGATGTTCCCGACTGAGATAACGTCATCCTGCCTTGTGCTCGATAAAGGCATGATTGAATTCGTACCAACCTGCAGTATTCCACCAAAAGCGCAGTCGCTCCACGTTCGCCTGGAGTGCGCGACCACACCCTCCCAATCTGCAGGATACGGACTGCATAAATGCCCTCCAGCTGACCGCCCGCCAACAATCGATATCCAGTTTTTCTATATAAAATATCGATGGATTGATGAAGTGGCGCAAAACGAGGCTCATACCATTTCGTAGCCTCACAGAAGTTTACAGACCTTTATGGAAATGGCCTAGTGTAGGAATTAGTTGCCGGGGTGTCCCCCTCAACTCGCGCCGGGCCTGCCCCACCAGGTAAATGCTTCCGTGTTATGGTCATTTTTACAACAGAAAATCCTCTTTTCAATCAATGTATCGTCCGTAGCAACAGCTATTGTCAAAATTCTTTACAGAAGAGGCCGTGCACATGGCCAAGGATTTGCGTTGGTTTGTGAAAAGGAGTTCCACGCTCGTGAGATCGGTATTTTCCTCACAAAGACCGGTCTATCGATTGATCACGATGTGATGCAAAGACGAACCATGCTTGAAAACAGCAAGTATGTCTCGCTTCCATATAGTCAGCCCACGGTCTAAAGTTCCACATTTAGGAAAATTGTCTCCGAGTTATGCGATCTCCTTTCCGCCGATCGCACTCCGTTAACACCGTTTGTGACTCCGATGAGACCTCTTGTCGCTTTGGATCCTTCCATCCAACAGCATTTAAGTCACTACACTTTGGTGAGAGTTTTAGCATTTGATTGAAATTTTGTCGCCGGGAGTGGCTTGACCCGATAAACCCGAGTTTCTGGGCCGGATGAAAGTTGGGAGATGCACACTCTATATGGATTTTCCATGGAAGCCCTGCGGGTGGAACTGTAATACTTCAACAGCTGCACCCTCCTTCTTCATTGTTCTCCTTGTCTTCCCATTCCATAAACAAATAGCCCAGCAGTGGAGCAAGTGTGACTCCGCCCACACGATTAGCGTGGAACGTTCCTTAAACTATCACGTCTGTTTCAGATGACTCATGGCTTCGGTGGTGTGGCTATGGTGGCGGTGCTCGAATCAGTGAAAGCCATGATTGATGAAAGCATCAAGTATTTGGATCGGAACTGTTCACAACCGATGTATATTCCGTATAATACCCGATGAATACACTGTAGTTTGTTGGACATAGCACGGTCGCTTCGATAATGCAATAAAGATTAAAATTGTCCTTGTGAGAAACGTGACCCGAAAATGGAAAATATCACAGAAATGCCTCAATAGAAAGAGTTCTTCTCTGCATACAGGACTGAAGGCAAACTAGACACTCACCGAAGAGGACAGTCCTTGCCTTGTGTTGGGGGAATGGGTCCGCTGCTGCAGTAGTGCGCCACCTTCCTCGCTCAAAAGTGGACTGAAAGGGGGGATAGAGATAGAGGCTAGAAGGTGATACCTGAGGTGCCGTCTCCACACTGCGCCCGCTCTGCCGCGCTGCAAACCATAGCCGAATGCGCTACTTTTCTGTGTTCCTTCACTTCTGCTCTACTGCTGAATGCGCGTGCTTCGAGATCCTGGTATCAATGCAAGTACTGCACATTGAGAATAGCTAGGCGGGGTTTCGAACGGCTTTCGTGTATCACTACGCTTCAGCCTCATTTCTGCTGTCAAGTGCCGTAAGCGCCACACTTATACAGCTGCCACTCGGACAGGAACTGTCCTCGCAAGTGAGTGTATAGTTTGTCTTTCAAGGAGAGGCGGCAGAACGTGAACAGCGTATCTGTGGAGGACGCAGGAGGCACAAGAAAAAGTTGTCCACCTTCCCCTTCCGATAATGGCAGTGCCTCGAGTGCATTCCATTCAGCGTGCACGCAGCTGCTCCTATGCTTTCAAATAGGTCTGTGGGCATACCCTCTCCGAGAACCGTGATACGGGCCGCACAGATTCTGTTTTGCTCCAACAACGTCCTCTAATTCCCAGATAGTATATTCGGAAAGGGAGTTCAGGAGAATGAGGGAATTGGGAGGAAATTCATAATTTTTTTCCTTGAGATGCCGAGTTATCACTTGGTTTCAGTGGTGCCTAGAGATATCTACCATCACAGGAGCAGGGATTGAAAGGTTCGAAAGTGCCACTGAAGGTACAAGGTGGAGTAAGAAAGGAAAAGGACAACGGAAGAAAAAAGAAGGAAAAACAACCGAAACTGCCTGAAATAACACCGCTGCAAAGATGTATATGAACAACCTTCACCTGGCCACTTACCAAGCTTTCTTGGGATGAGGTGGATGCATTTCGCTTTTATTAGAATCTGTGACAACCTTGGAATGCATATGGCTATTACAGTTACCTGGAGCTCTCTTTTCCAAGTGCTCTTATAACTTCATATTGAAGCCAAAAGGCGTGGCGCGTACTGTACTCTTCATCTTACTGCCCGCAGTTCGGCCACCTCTTTCCGACTTTATGACGCACATTTTTTCGAGATGTTCGAAATGCGGATCCGAGTTTCACCATAGCTGTGGGTGTCTTGCAGCCAGGTCTAATCCCAGTGATCAGATTGATCTCAGTCACCAATTGTAGCGCAACTTGAGCGATAAATCCGGCACCTCTTTCGAAGTCCGCCTTTCCCACAAATCGGCTAGGCCCTCCTATGAGGGAACAGAAGCGTGAAGAGGACAATTGTGTGGAGAAAGAAGCGGGATCTAGCTACATCCACGGTTCTTCGGCCTTGTGAAATTGACCATCCTGGTCAATTTCACAGGGCCACCCTGATCGGTTTAATGAGCCCGACGCAGCCTCGGCTATCGATGGAGGAGTTTTCTTTTCTCTTATTTCCTTATTACCTTCTATCTTTCAAGCTCAACTCTATATAGATTTGCTAGGTTGTCCTACTTCTGATAATGTAGATCTATTTTGCCTATATAGTGCATATTTAATATGGCTGAAATGCCATGACAGACATTCCTGGCTTGGAAAATACTAGCGAAAATTTTAGGCCGTTTTTAATCCACTAACGTTAATTTAAACTTAAATTCTGATTTTACATTATTTCGGGTTTTTTTTGAACCAGTATGGTCATGACTTTCTACCACTTTGAATCCTGTATTTTAGCTGAACTGTTTCTTAAATTTAACAAATCGAATTTATCAATTCTTGCTCTCTAGTTGGTTTCGAATTGTCCACAGGGACAGGGTTAATGCTGTGCATTACCCCACCAGCTAGGAAAAATGGGAATGAAATCGGGAGTTACAGGTCTGGGAAAGGAAGACTCGAGTTCAAATGGCGGTCAGAATCGCGGAGGCAAGTTATTCGCTCGAGCCAGCTTCACCTAATGGGCTTAGTCGTCTTCACAGAGGTAAGCATTGTTGTCGCAGTCGTGTTAGAATAAGCTGTTCTTCGGGTTAGTTAGAACCAGGGCATCCTTGAACGAGGATTGCTGCGAAGTAGGGGGGGGGTCGTATTTGCAGCATGAAAAATCGGCAGATGGTTTTCAACCTTCCTTTGTGTTCTTTTGTTCGTTTTTGTTTTCACATGTACTCTTTACGCCATCCCCACTTCCTCCTAACCTCCTCTCCTGCTCGAGAGCAACTTCTTCAATGGATGAGTTTTCAGAAGAGACTCCGAAAAAAGGCAGGAAGGTGGAAAACATGTTAGAGAAATCTAGGAAGATAGGTAAGTAGGGAACGGGGATGGAAAAGGGGGGGGGAGTCGCAACAGAAGAGGAAGTTCCGACGGAGGATGGTTTGAGCAGCAAAACTTCCGCGGTAGGATCTGCCCTGGTTTGAATCTTGTCCCGAAAATTCGCCTGCCCAAGTATGCTTCTTCGGCTATGTATGGGAAACCCTCGCTGGAAGTACTTTGCCCCTCTGGAGTCTCACAGCTGCCGGAGGAATTACCACTTGTTTGCAGAGGCCTATTTAAGCCATGAGCGCAAAAAAATGGAAATAGTGATTATATCATGTGCCTATCCTGTGGGAGGATTCTTTTGGGAAAAATTGGCTCTTGATGTCAGACGGATAGGTGAAAAAGTTCAGCAATAAGTCGTATTAGGAGAGGGATTTATCAAGCATATTCCCTTGACGGCTAGCTTACCCTTTCTCGAGATAGAATGAATCGTCGTTGTGTAAAACGCGCAGGTTGCATTTGTCTGAAAGCTGGAGGGGGTGTGTTTGGCAACGAATTTTTTCAATTGTTGATTTTTTCCCGTTTGAGGCGCGCTATAGGGTCAATCCCTAGTTGTCGGTTTGGCAAGACTGCAATTCCTAAGCGTTGAACGGAGGTATCTATTCTCCCTCACCTTTTCCACCCTATCCAGTGGAAAAGGTAGTAAGAAGGTGAGCAGTCGCGCAACACGGATAGAAGGAGGAAGTCTGGAGTGGGGAGGAGGAGTCGTTTTTATTCGGAAATCACCCCAACGCGGTAATGTGCCCTGATTGTTCCGTCGGGATAGATGGTGTGGGACAGTTAAAGAGTAGCGAATGAACGCTATTGTTGCGCTATTGTTTTATTTGATACATCTAATTATATTTTAGGTTACGAAGTGGTCAGTGCAACAGGCAGGAATTTAAAGGAGATCATCACAAGGACTTTCACGGAAACCTCGAAATCTTCACAAGAGAGAAACTTCACAAAATTTCGGGCTGCTTTTGCAGTTTGGCGTGCCCGATCAAAACTCATATTCTGAAATATTCACTTCACTTTTTACGCTTTTGCTATCGATATACCTTTGAGCGAGTTATGAGATGGTGGAGCGTTCTGGAGTGTGAAAGCAGCCACAGTTCTCTGCAGTCCATATCTCCGAGATGTGAAGGGCGTGGCCACGTGTTTCCTTTGAAGCATGGCAGCGGCTGCGTTTTTGCCGACTATATTGTTTTGGGACAGTGTAGTTATGTCTTTGTCCAGCACAAAAAAAACACGACATTTTTTCCAAGTATTAATATCTCACGAAAACACATCTTGAGCCATGTTCGAATGGAGTATGCGGTCACGCCCTCCCCGTTTCCGGGATGTCGGGTGCCTTATGGAGCCATATGAAGGTTGTCTTTTCCAAATCATTCCCAGGGATAAGTTCGAACTCCACCTCAGTCAAGACCGGTGGGCGGACGATCGATGAGGTTGGAGTAATGGACGTAAGTGGACCTCATGCACAGGTATGTTGTTAATAAGAAAATGTGAATAGTAAATCAGTAAATGCATAAACCGTATTGTAGCCGAAGCGGAGACAGCGGCCTACTTCGGTGATTTTTGTAGAAGGGCGGTCCGAACATGGACTGAGGGTAGGGTTTTCAGATCGCGCACTTTCTTCTACCGTCTTTTGGGCTCATATAAGGCTTTTGGCTTTTTTTTAGATTGATCCTGCATACAACAACAGCTCAGCGGCCTTCTCGTATCCCTCAGTGAAGGATTCCAACCTCGGTACACACCTCATATGTACGTGATAGTAGTCTGTGACGTTGACGAGGTCCGCCACTGCCATCAAGGTAAGCCTAATGGTCTTATCCAATGGGCATGGAGTTCCCCCTAGATAGTTTTCCTCCAGAATGTGCACTCAGCATATTCTCGCTACCAGTAACGTTTTGAGGTAATCTGTACTTTCATCGTAGTGGATTTTGGCCTTGGCCATGTGCGAGATGAATAGTTCTGCAACTGCAGTAGCGTGCCACTTTCTCCTGTCCAAAGTGCAAGGGACTGGATGGTACTGTTACCCCACTGGCGCATGGGACTCCACCCGAATTCCGTGCGAACACGCAATCAGAGGTACGCAACAATAAGAAGAAGGAGGGCGCAGAGAAGTAGCGCGTTTCGCTATGGTTGGGCGTCTGGCTGGTCGTGCGGCAGCGCCGCAGTTGGGTGTCAGTACCCTCCAACCCAACTATCGTGCACTTTTGACGAAAGAGAGTGGTACGCTGCTGTAGAGGAGCTATTCACTTCGCACATGGCAGGGACGGGGATCCACGGAGGTGAGTGGGCAGTTGGTTTTTGAACCTCGCCCATTTAGGGTATCGCTGGCTTCCTACGACTTCGATTAATGATTTGTCTTTTTTGTGTAATTTCTCTTTACACTATTTCCAGGGAAATTCTCTCAGTCACTGATGGTGAAGCCGGTCCATTACAATGTCGCCTACGTCTCAAGTTTATCGGTACCCTATAGGAGAGCTTCTCGTGCAACCGTT